CTCTCTCTCTCTTTCTCTCTCTTTCAATTCACAAACACATATAAGTAAAGCAATGTAAAGTATACAGTATATAGATATAAGTACACTAATACACTAATATCTATGTACACTAATATCTATTAACAAAAATTATAAATCTAAAATACAATTATATAATATAGTTGTAAACTAATAGATTAAAAGAACAGTTTGCATTTAAAAAATTGCCAATAGGTAAAGTAACAATGACATTAGCTGTCGATAAAAAATATTACATATAATTCTAAGAATTTCTATTTTATCATACCACTTTAAATTAAAAAACAAATACTTTATAATGTTATCAAGAATTTATTTGTTCCTAATATAATTGTACTAATTACTTAGTTGATTTTAATGCCTAAGTTGTAGTAAGATTTTGTTATAAAAACCACAATTTTTAGGATTATTTTATTTAATTATAGTATTTAATTGAGCTTCATTTATACAATATCAAAAATTTTAATTATAATGAAAAGTTTATGTGTTGTATCGCTGGTACTATGCATAGCGATGGTCAGTGCCGTGCACTTTGAGCCCCAACAACCTTTTGGTGGCAAAGCTTGGGTAGTGTTGGTGGCAGGCAGTCATGGTTGGGGCGATTATGGATTTCAAGTATGTAAATTAATTTATTCTAATTATTTAATTAATTATAATAAATTAAACATTTAGTTTGCTAAACATTGTTTAGTTATAAACGTGTAAATTATTCCAAAATCTCACCATAGGCAAATATATATCATGCTTATCACATAGCGGTAGCCCGGGGTGTGCCCAAAGAAAATATCATCGTGTTTCATTACGATGATATTGCCGCCAATCCCAGCAATCCTACACCCGGTGTTGTGGTCAATACGCCTAATGGTACTGATGTTTACGCCGGTGTGCCTAAAGACTATACCGGCAAAGATCATACAGTCAAGGTAATGTTTTAATTACTTTTGTCATCTAGATTAATTATTTTAAGCATATTTTGATGTGTTTTTACAGAACTTTTTCGCTGCCCTCAAAGGCGACCAAGAGTTGGCTAAAGCAGACAAAAAAGTGGTCAACAGTACACTTAATGATCACATATTTGTCTATTTTATTGACCATGGTGCACCGGGATATGTGCTGTTTCCTAAGGAACAAATGCACAACACTGACCTGATCAAGACACTAACCGAGATGAACGCGGCTAAGCGATTTGCCAAGCTGGTTTTCTATCTAGAGGCATGCGAATCAGGTATGCGTAATATTAAATATGTGAATTTAGTATTTTCATAATGTATTTACCTAGTTTATTTTTTACAATTATTTATGGGAATAGTTTAAGCAGTACAATTATTTATACTAAATTATCACCATATAATTAAATTAACCAGATTTATTTCTATTATTATCATAATAGGATCAATGTTTGAGAAAGTTTTGCCCAACAATATTAACGTATACGGAATGACATCGACTAATTCAACTGAATTGGGCTGGAATTGTTGTCGCGATACTAAACGACAGGCCTGGGTCAGTAAGTATCTAGCCAATTTTATAAAATTTAAACATATTTAAAATTCATCGTGCAATTCATTGAGCTATGTAAATATTTATTAATACTCCTAGGTTCATACTTTGGTTATTATTGGTACAAAAATTGGCAAAGCACAGATTTTGTTAAGGAAACTTTGCAAGATCAATTTGAATACCTGCATAACACTACTAATCAAACCGGTGTGATGGAGCCCGGGCAACACGCTCAGCATGCTCACCAATGGGGTGATCTGTCCATTACAAAATTACCTGCTTCACAATTTCAAGGTATTATTTTTGGTTGAAATTATCTAAGTTTTTATTTAGTGTTTAATTAAGTATTTAATTGTTGAAAAATACTGACTTTTAATCTATTGATACCCATAGGACCAACACCATTCATCCAGGTCAGCAATGCTGATTTAGACAAACCAATTTGTAATCCGGTTAACACACGGGAAATGCCGGTACAGATGTTGGAGAAAAATATTGAAGAGACCAACGATATGCACGAGAAGTTGAGGTAAAATTAATGATTTTTTATATAAATATTTATTTTGATAATTAACTCGTAAAACTGGTAAAATAATGTCTTTTAAATGTAGGTTAACTCAAGAATTG